TCCAAAGTTACCAGTGGGAAACTTTCCGAAGGTCTTGAGCATTACTTCACACAATGGCCTCTTTCTGCCTTTTTGTGCCTTTGGTGTGTTCGATCATGAAATCGCGCGACTGGATCCTTTCCTGGTCTTGGTTCAGCACAGTCTCAGTGTGCGATGCATGAAGTAACATGTCTACCCCATTACCAGATGATGATAGGTCCAAGACTTCCAAGATTAGCACGGTTTAAGCTCGCGGTGCATCTCTCCCACTTCCTCTCCCTGGGCATTCCGCACGGTGCCAGGTTCTCCACCATCGGCGCCAGCTGACCCAGGGCTGCGCTGCACTCAGGCGTGGAGCCGGTGGCGCCGGCACCCGCCGCAGGGGTGGAGACCGCCTGTTCAAAGGATCGTTGTGAATCAAGGGGGTGTCACTGAGTGGTTGTGAAGTATGCCAGTGGTTGTGAAGTGCGTGACACATGAGAGAGATAGTACATGATGGTAGTATGCCAGCTACGTGGATGTACGTGGTACGTGCTGTGGTACATGTGAATGTTGAGAATTGATCGGTGATACCGGAGGATGCAGGAGGTATGTAGCTGAGAATGATGTATATCAGTTCACAGCTGTGGAGAAACACTATGCGTTGGGTACCCTGTATAACAAGTCTAAAATCAACAGCCCGAAGCTCGAAGCCAACAAACACAGTACAATACCACTCACGTACCATGCTAGCGGAGGAAAAGAGCGGCAAAGCCATGTCACACTAAATAGCACAGCCCCCACGTCGAGTTTGACGATAGAATATAGCAGCCCAACAAGGAAAGGCAGCATTAGATCCCAATGAACTTCCTAAAGGTACAGGAATCCTCCACATCGATAAATAATGATAAATCTGAGCATCACCTGCCCAGTCTGACCACTGGTCTGTCTCAGTTGGTCTATGGATTGACATCTGTATCTTCTCAGGCTGGGGTCTACTGATTTGGATGGTTCACCAACCAGGCATGGGTTGGAGCTGGGTTGGAGCCTATTGTTGTACCATGTACTTCTCCATCATCCCCTCCGGTCCACTCCAGGCCTCTGCTTGTGGCATGCTCTGCAAAGCGCTGGCCAACGCATCCATCAAGTGCCTTAGCCAAGCCTCACGCGTGTAGAGCCTCAGGTGGGCGGGGCGGGGATTTCCCGACGGCCAACCGTTGCACCCGTACCTCTTTCCTGGTTGGTGTGCCTCCTGAACCACTCTTGGTCTACATCCTACCTC